TTTTTCTAATTTAAAAATCCATAACGCAACTAACGCGAAACTCAAATACACGTAATTATCTAAATTTGTTTTTATCATATTTCGCAATTTTTTTCTACGCAGTCACTGGCGGTTTTCATATGCAAATGGCCTTTCGCGAAAGTGTTACTTCATAAAATAATTTTTCAAAGTAAAACATGACATATACGGTGGCAGTCAAGGGTCACTTACCTCATACGCTTTACGCACCGCGCAAGGTGAAACAAGGACTATGCATGATTTCCGGAAAACGAGTCACTGTATGCAAATTGATATTTAAAATTGATATTAAATTGTTATGGTTATTTTTTAAATGGTATTTCAAGTGCAATCATAATAACGATTATCAATTTATATAATTAAAAACTTGATATGTCGAATCTATTAAATTGTCGAATGAACTTTTGCCTACTTAAGCAATTGCATATGTCTTCACGTTACGATTCTAATCCCTCACGTTCATTTCTCCGAAAGAAAAAGGGTACGACATCTTCACGGAAACGTCGGGTCAGAAGAGTCCAACGGCGACCATTGAGGGGTCGAATAAAAGGTTTTTCTCGCACTTTAGGCATAAGCGTTTGCTCATCACGTACATGTTTCTTTCGAACGTTTGAACCCTGTTTCGTGACGACGAATAGGCACGCGTATTTCTGTAAGAAATTTAACATTAGACATACTTGGTTCTCGTTATAGAAAAATCGGTCTACATCATATTTATTTAATGAAATATTCTCATGCAAAGTGAACGAAGGTCCAGTTTCTGAGCAGTATATTGGTATGTGCAGTATAATTCTCAACACCGATAACTGTAGTGTGGGGTTGTAGCAACCACTGTCAGTCAGGAATGTGCGTTGACTACTGTGGGTACAAAAATAGTTGGAATGGTATTAAGTTTATTGAACCATAACATTAAATTTATTTTGTGCGTCGTTATGACGTTGTATCGCAATGCAAATTTGAATTGGCGTCGATTTTACGCGCGTTAAATATACTGTCTGAGGGAGTTTACGAGAGAGAGACTTTATGTTTGATCTGTTCAAACATACCACACTCAGAATATAGAAAGGAGAAAATTCAGATCATCAACTCAGCGATAACGTAAAGAGTCAAAATGACGAACGACGCAAATAGAGAAAATATCTTTGCCAACTGACAAATGTATAACATACCACAGTGGATACAACAATGGAGAATTCTCCGTTACACTGTATGTGTATACCACAATATGCACCAACAAGATTTTTCTAGAAATCACTGCGTCGCATTGCGAATTGATTGCTTCTCGATTTTTTTCGCAATTGATAACTTTATGAACTTATTTATTTCACTCCATCTAAATAAGCTTATCATTCTCCTAATTGTGTCCTGGTGTTTTTTGTTATCGATGTAGTTTTTCCTACATCCCATTTTATTTTCATATTGGAAACCGGGCAGTTGATGCGATTGCATTTTTTCCCTTTTAAGGAAGAAACTGACATTCCACTTATTCCAATTATCTAAAATTTTGAGTGAAAGTAACCGAATGATATTTTACGCACGAGTTTTTACGCTGGGTAAGAGAATTGAACTACCGGGGACTTCAGTACCGTTGATTCACAAAGCACTTCGAGCAACGTTTTATCCCGAGTATTACGTTGTGTAGGTCCATCTAGGCCATGTGGGAAGTTTGCGCGGTATTATTTGTCTAATACGTTCTTCTAGAAAAGACTCCAAGAACTACGCCCAAGGCATTTCAGCACAAATGCCAACCGATGTTTGCGTAAGTACGTCAATATGACGTTTCTTGAGCCGAGAATAGATTTTCCGATATTATTTAGTTACGGCACTTCACTTGAAATTCTCACAGACGCTTGCAGTGTGCACTGGTGCAGCATTGCTTTCGTTTGGTTTTAATGCAATTCAAAAATGGTTTATCGCCTCTACAGCTAAATTATTATTTGCGTTAGGGTAGATATATCATAAATGTTAAAATATTGCTGCTGTTATATTCTGAAACACGAATATCTCATGCAGCGTTTCAAACTCCATGCTCGATTTCAAAAGAGAATATCTTGGAGCTTGTTACAACCAATTATGTGATTCAATCGCACTGCCGAAACAACACAATGATCGCAATTTTTGAGATAATTTTTTTGTTAGGCATTCAAGTCAATTCGCGGCACATCTTCAGTTTTGGTATTTAAAATCAGTCGATATTAACGTAAATACCCAGTTCAGTCATAGCAGACAAGGATTGCTTTGTATACAATTGAGCCTACAGGACAGTCAGTGACAGCAGCAGTGTAAAAATGTTCAACTCGGTAATAGAAATATATGCTCAAAATCGAAATTCTTATAAATCGATGAATCTTGGATAACTTTTACGGTATTGATATTGTCATTTCAATAACATTGATTCTCACATTACAAGTGACGAATAGTTGCATCAAATCATAAAGTTCACATTTGAGATCCCTAGTATAATGTTTCTTTTCAGAATTTTTGGTTTTAACGTTCATTTACCCATCTCTCGGAAACGTGACTAAAGAGCCAGGAAGGAAATAATTGAATAAGTTTATATTCTGCTAGTTTTGTAACGAGATCCAAAGTCTCCGAAATGTTAGGGAACCTGTTGTACTTGCACAATTCACGAGTTCGCGCAGTGCGTTCAACCAATAGGTAATGGTTGACGGACGCCATTTTGAATGAGACATGGCTTCAAAGTTGTCGTATAAAAATTAATTTTTAATTAAAATTGAAAGTCTGCTGGTTATTAAATTGAACTGAAATGTAAATGATGAGATATAAAATATGGTTTAAATAAAATATAGTCAATATATTACCTTCAACAGGAGATATTTATGGGAACAGTCTATAGTTTTCTGCAAAGTTCGTTTTCTATACTCTAATACTATATGTAAATATAAATCCTCAAGGTGTTTTGCAGCACCCCAAAATTTTGATCACATAAGACCGAAGTAATCTTTGACTATTTTTTTAAATCATAATACCCTATATTTGAAAGCATGCGTTCCATACATTTCGGTTATTTGCAGTTATTTCTCTTCATTTCCAGTTACTTTCTATCCGTGAAATCATTAATGCGAATACGATATCAGTTAAAATTCGCATCCGTCGCAATAGTTTTGCAAGTATTTGAAGCTAACACATTAAATATATTTTTAACTATTGTTTTTTTATATATATTTCAGAATTTTTAAGTATATTAAATGTAAAATATTAAAGTATTTTTTCATCAAAAATTCGGTATATTTAATGATTTTTAAGGATGGCAATAAAAGTGAGCTGCACTAACACGCTAGAATTTTTTTAGACCAGAAAGTTTGATCTTATTTCGGCAACTATTATAAAACACCATTCTAGCAATATTGGGTGTCCTAATTATAGTATATTCAATTTGCTAAATTTTGGCCCATGATAAAATGAAGTGGCAAATTTAGGATTTTTCTATTGCTGCCATCTACTACTATTACTAAAAATTTAAAATTGATTATTTCAATTAAATATAACGTTTTCCAATTTATACCCTTAATAATTATACTATGCACTTAACAAATCTGGATGTTTTTATTATATAGAATTTATAAAGTAAGTTGATTTGATAAAAATTCCGAAACAGTATTATGTTATTGGTAGTAGTGTAATAAATTATTTCCTCGATCTCAAATCGTAACATTTTTCAACGCGCTTGAATTTAATTTTTTGAAATACATTATATTCGTAGTAAAACGAGTATTCAAAAAATATAGCATTGTCAACTTACCAAATATTACCAATTTAAAATGGCGTATATTTAAGCTATTTCAAGTGTTAACTAATTCGATGATACAATCATATATTTATAATAAAAAAATCAAGTTGTAAGATCGTAAAACACTTTTCACAAAAAAAATAAATATAGGACATACATTTTTATTATAAACTTCGAATTTATACCAATGTCGTTTTCAATTCTTATAAGTTGCAAGTAAAGAGGAAATCATTTTGAAACTATAGAAAAATAAGCGTTTTCTGGTAACAAGTTTCCAATCTTTGACATTCGCATTGATCGAGAAAAAAAATGGCGGCGCGCGTCGTCAAGGCGCGGGACGAATGACGTTGATTTTTTGTCGTGATGGATTTGGTAATTTCAGGAAACAAAATTTTTTGTATATCATCCAATAGTCAAATTTTTATGTTAATTCTCATGTGTAATTTATAAAGTGAAACTGCGCTACAAACTTATTTTAGCAACAGTGATAACATTTCATTTAATGATAAATGATGTGAATAAGTGGGTGTTGCCATTGGTACCAAATAAAAATTAGTAATTCGCATCATATGGCGCAAAATCATATCCGCGATATTATGTGGGCATATGGATACAGTATGGGAACATTCTGGAAAACGTCTTTAAATGCATTTGCGTCAAATGCGTCGAAACGTAAGATATCATGAATGTGAGAGAAAGATGAGAATCACTGATGCGTGCTTTCTATTTAAAACCCTGGATCGGGGAGAGCGCGCGTTAGTTCGGAATCAGAGTCGTGGCGGCCGGCGCTTGGTATACGAAGGCTAGTTCATTTAAATATTGTAGATTGACGCATATTATATAAATAAGAATATAAATTATTAGAAAAATTATAAAATCCTGTCATAATTAATATCAATTAATTGATAAATATTTTCTCAATGCGAAGTTTGTCAGATTTCATTGTAAACAAATAAGACCACCAGTGGTCCTTATTTGCAGACTAGAAAACCATTGCAATCCAATGTAGTAGGTTATGCAATATAGCTTACAAGTATTCATATTTTATTACTAATTTATGAATATAATATGTGAATTACCAATACTCGAAAAGCAGTGAATTAACTAAAATGACAGAGATGTGCAGAAACTTAGCGATATATCCCATACACAAGTGATAGCAATTGAAGTTAGCCTATAATTTTTCTGTTAGTTTCTAAATCACTGAATATTGCAATGCCTGCTTATTATAGGCATTAATATATCACATTGAACATTCGAAAAAGAAAAAAAAAGAATAGTCTTATCAATTCCGTTCTAACTGAAGATTTCGCCGAATATTGTTGCGGTGTGCATCTTACATGTTCGTGAACAATTTGTTAAAAGCTATTTTGTCTAATTTTAGTCAATTAGGCCTTACTCATGGGTGCATTTTGTTAAAACTGGCTCACATGTACCAGACAAGCGGCGCGTCACGTGTTCTGCGATCACCGATTACAAATTGTCACTGAAAGCTAGTTGATAGGGTAACCGACTTCGAAGCGTTCGCGTCCCGTGAAAACACGTGCGAGGATTCCGGCGTTGTGCGTCAAAGGTACTTTTGTACGCTCGTGTATTATTTTGCAGACTATATATGTGTGTGTAGATGTCTTCGGCCATGTTTTATTTATCGACTGTTATATTTAATAGACAATGAGATAGATAATGAATATAAGGTGTTCCTGTACTGTATACAACTCAAACGCAGTCAAAATTTTTAGTTGTTACCTAAGGATTTTAAAATTGAAATCACTTTTAACCTATGTAAGTATATGTATATGCGGTACCTCGATATAACGTTATGGGAAGGATGGAATCATTCCAGTTATATACAGCTTTCTGCGAGCATTCTCAGTATCAGATTACAACATAATAATACACAAATATTATTTGAATTTCTCATCAAACATACACAAACGTTTGAGGAAGGTAAAAAATAACCATTTATTTTTATTACTTTAGACATTATGCAAATCGAAAACAACGGCAACTCTTCAATCCTGGGAAGTTTGCCATTTTTAATAGACAACGGATTGTATTCTGACTTTTTCAATCCTACCGCTGCACGTGCTACAGTTCAAACGTATTGTAACAGCAATATCGAAGACTCATTCGAATTCAAAGAAGGCTTTCAAGCGGATTATACCGGAACAGCATTTACACTAGACAACACTGTTTGTAGCTCTCCGGAGATTTCACCCAGTCATAGGTATGTGTACTCGTAATAATCCACGCGCAGAATTAAACTACAGAAGAAATTTATGTATAAAAGAGGAAGAATATTTGTTTGTAATAAGAAATAGTTCAATTAAATTACTTATTCGTATATTGTATTTTTTCAGTGCGTCAACTGTGGAAGACGTGTTTTGTAATTACAACGGAAGTATAATTCAAGACTTTTACGAATCCGACCATTCAGGATACTGTGGTGATTCTGTAACATCAACCGACCTTTCCCCAGAGTCGTTGAAAACACAAAAAGCAAGCTCCTGCAATAAATCTCAACAAGTTTTGATTGTTGGAGTACCAGAAGTTGACGCTGTCACACATAAAATAAACGAGCAAGACGCGGAACATTCAATGAAAGAATCTGATATTGTCACAACATCTAGCCTCGTTATTCATCCCGAAAACATAATGAGTACAACTGCTTTATCTGCATACGCCACTCAGCATAACATGGCGGATCACATAGCAATGTATCCTCATGCTCAGGCATTGTCCCCAGATATCAATTCGGTAAATAAAATAGTCAGCAGAAGTCAATATCATGCAAGTATGAGCGGCGAGGGAAATTGTCGAGACATATCCGATTACAACTCACAATCTCGAACGTCACCTTCCGGATATCAGTCTGCAACGTCTCCAATGTTACCTCCGCCGGCTTATCATCGTGATTCGCCTGCTAACAGAAGACTTTCTACCGGATCTTCTTCAGTTCCGCCTAGAGGAGAATACAATGGAATGGAGGATTTAGCACAATATAATTCAGGGCCTTACTCAGCTCCAGGGGAATTGCTGAGACCGAAGTGCGAACCTCATAGCACTTCATACTTACAGGAAGAAAATTTGTCACCCGTTATGAACAGCATTCCCTCTCCAGTAAATCAGGTTAACCAACAAGTCCGAGCTACGTACACAAGCAGGCAGTCACCTATATTCAATGAAGCTGCGGAATTCTCAAACAGTATGTACTTCCCCGCCGAGAGAGGCGATGCAAAAGCTATTAAAAGCACAAATTCTTATGATGTCATAACTGCAAACTCATATCGGCATATGAAACATCACGACTCATCTCCTACGCAATCATCTATTGCTCAGAAAGAATCCGGAGATTCGAGAATGCGCGAAATAATGAAGAAATCAGCATATGATTTTTCCTCATATCCCTGTAGTTCGCGTCAAGGGGCAGACGAGGATGAATTTCATCAAGATTTGGGTAGAAATGAGATGAATTCGCTTTCTCCGCGGATAAATTATGTCGGGACTAAGGGGGAAATCCCGTCTGCGTCATTTGGTAGTGCAAATGATGTATCTGGATACTCTGAAACTGAAATTGCTGGCTCGTCTATGAAGAATCACAGCCCTTCTAGTTCCCCGGTAAGCAACGCTCGAGCAATTTTAATGACCTACCAAGAACATGGGTCTCGTCCAACAGAAAACATTCCTTCATTGGAACCGAGAACCCTGCAGTCGACAATACCTGAACAGATACATCAGCAAACGTCATCGTTATATTCTATGTATGCTGGTGATAGAACATACATTCAAGGCGAATACGCAAATGTTCATCCAAGTGAAATGGGCCAATCGGATATGTGCTCTCCCACCTCTAGCACTAAGACGGATTTTATAACTATGATGAACCGAAACCAAAATACTATTCCGTCTTCTAATTACCAATCGGCAGAATTTGAGAAACACTGCAATTTGTTTGGATCCGTTGCTTTGGGACGTTCAGTAGAAAACGTATTTCAACGACGCCCAGCCGAATCAATGACAACGGGACCAAGGTTTGTCGACCAACAATCTTTTTCTGCGTTGGACAAAGGAAATACCTTTAAATCGTTATTGGTCGGATCAAACGTATTCCGTCCTACTTTGTCGCTGGACGTCGACAGGATAGCAGAATCTATTTCAAACTCACATTCCAACTACGCAAATGATATGCGATTGAAGATGGGACCTTCGGTGAATGCTATACGTAGTCAGTATCAACTCCATCATCAAATGGACGTAGGAAATTCAGTCATATCTCAACATTCTATTCGACACTCCAATGAAGGTTTATGCGCAGTATGCGGCGATAACGCAGCTTGTCAGCATTACGGAGTTCGTACTTGCGAGGGTTGCAAAGGATTTTTTAAGGTAAAGGTTTTTAAAACCATTATAACGGTACAAATTATGCATATTTATATATCTTTTTACATCAACAAAATATTATTTTTCACAGAGAACTGTCCAGAAAAATTCGAAATATGTCTGTCTTGCAAATAAGAACTGCCCAGTCGATAAAAGGAGACGAAATCGGTGCCAGTATTGCCGCTATCAGAAATGTCTTGCAGTTGGGATGGTCAAGGAAGGTAAATATATTTGTTACTCCGTTATTTTCTTGAATAGCAGCAGCAATTCAGTTTAATTTTTTGTTATTGTACATTTTGATAAAAACTTCATTACTTTCAGTGGTCAGAACTGATCACCTAAAAGGAAGAAGAGGGCGATTACCATCAAAACCGAAAGGTCCTCAAGATCCCGTAGCACCTCCCTCGCCACCTGTCAGTTTTATCACGTCACTGGTACGAGCTCACGTCGATACCAACCCTGCAATATCGAACACCGATTTCTCGAGAGTAAGTCATCGGCTTTGTTGATATCTTTCTATTATAATATAAGTTAATTCGTATAGTCTAGAACTAGATCAGTTTTTTACTGGCGTTGTAAAACTGATGAAATGGAAAATATGATGATCTTTTATCTCTATATTCACAATTTATTTTATCTATAGCGCATGAATGGTCTAATTTGGCTTTATCTTTAAGATAGCATAAAACTTCTAGGTTAGCGGATAGTTAATCATTTCTTCATTCCAGTATCGTCCTGCTACCATGTCCTCGTATTCACCAATTTTGAGTGACGCTGACGAAACAAAAAACTTCTACAACTTGCTTGGAAGTTGTGCCATGGTGGAAAAAGATTTTGCCGAAAAGATTCCTGGTTTCACGGATCTGGATAAAGACGACCAGGCTATCCTCACCGACTCTGCATTTGCTGAGATATTCGTTTTACGCATGGCTTACAGGTTAGTGGCAAAGTTAATAAAAACTAACAATAAATCTAAACGATAGTCCAAAAGAACAATACTTAGATAAGAATGCAGCATTTACACGATCTTTATATTTCTTCAGATCTGACTACCAAGAAGGGAAGCTTATTTTTTCTAATGGCGTAGCTTTGCATCGTGATCAGCTGTACCGCTCATTTGGCGAATGGATCGATTTGATTATGGATTTTACCTGTTCCCTTAACGACTTGAACGTTGATATTTCGTCATTTTCTTGTCTGCTTGCTCTCATACTTTTCACAGGTAGAAAAATTATTGAATCTATTATGCAATCTTCAATGATAAATAACTACATTTGTAGGTTTGATGTTGATGTTCTAAAAACCCGACATTTTATTAAATCGTTATTTTATTTCCTAATCCAGATCGACGTGGATTGAAAGATCCAAGGAAAGTCGAAGAATTACAAAACAAGACTATCGCTTCGCTGAAAAATCACGTTACACATAGTTCAGTTGCGTCAGATAGGCCCAACTACTTCTCTAAGCTTCTTGATAAGCTTCCAGATTTACGTCTTGTTGCTGATCACGGACGGCAAAGAATATTTCTACATAAAATGCAGAATCTTGTTCCGTTTCCACAATATCTTGATAGCATTTTTCAAGATACAACGTCCGCACCGTGATTTTGATTGCTGTCAGATTTGACGACTTTGCTTGAGAGGTCAGGTTCTTCTAACCGATTTCGGCAAGACTTTGCTAAGTTCTTGTGTAATCAAGAAATGGATTGTTTGCCTATGCATGGTTATATGTCTCGATACTGTTTTACCTGGTGAAAGCGCATAAAAATGAGTGGAACATTTCAATGTCGCTTACAAATGTGAATAAACAATGAATACTGGGGATCGTTTGGCGATGGATGATACTTTTGGAACGGAAAACGAAAAGATTTTGTAAGTAAAACTCTGAAAATTATGCAAAGGAAATTATATGAGGAAATTAAGGAGTTTATAACCTTAGTGCTATTCTAAGTATATGCTGTTAAAATGACCGTGCAGTACTAAACTTATATTCTTGAAGCTGGATAATTTTATTTTTCACGTTTTTCTGTTATTTTTTATATTTAAATATAATTATAATATCATTAGTTGGGACGATTGAATCAAAATTCAATCAAAATTTAGCTTGCAATTTATATTTTGAACTTAATTCTATAATAATGTACATATAAATATGGCATATAAATCTGAAATTATCATATTTTCTTGTTATTTAATGTATATTTTTACATAAATTTATAAAATGTAATCATTGGCAAATGGATATTTTTTAACTTAATTTCGTAGGTGAGATAAAATTATTTTTGGTGTTCCATTCGTACGACTAATTCCAAAACTTGTGTGCTTAAATATTAAAGTTTCAATTTTGCTCATTTCTGTAATAAGTTGTTTATGTTTAGCCAAGTATTTCATATTAATTTTTTTTTTAGTTCTTGATAAAATGATATTCATCACGCAGTAAAATATGATTGGGCCACGTAGATTATATACTGTATATGTAAAATGATGTTGTATTTGTTGTGAATATTCCACAGCATATATAGCATGTAAAGGCCGCGTTCACGATCTTTAAATAATTTGAAAGCAGTTATTTTTATTTTTTCGATCAGATTTGAAGTTTCCTAAAGTTTCAACCCAAAGAAAACTAACTGTATCTGCGACCTGAAATAAATATAGTTTATGGATATCCTTCAAGCTCATATTTTTATTTAAAACTGATCTTTTTTTATTGCTAAAACTATTAGCTTTCCCTGTGAATGAGATTGAAGTTTCAACATGCACTGCCTTTGTGTTGCATATTTTTCTAACACGAATTATCAGAAATCTTTTTGTTTTAAAATAAAAACATATTTAAACGCGTAATTGTTATTTTTGTGAGTGCCTGGGGTAAAGTAGGGCGAAAGGTCTGAAATGCGTTTGTCTATTGAAAAATCGGATAACAGTAGCCACAACTTTGCTGCTTCTGAACTGAATAATTTGTTTAATTAGATCCTTGTTAAAAACTCCAGAAAGTGCGAAAAAAAGTACCGGTACTTATAATCGACAACATTGATATGATTCCGAGTAGTGAGGATTACAAGATTTGTATAAACTGCGACAAGCTCTTTTCTGTTATGATCGGTCAATATAGTTTTCAATATTAATGAAGAGTATAGCTAGACCTCAGGCTTGCACAATAGTGCATTTATTTTACATTGCGGATACGATATAGTTAGTTTTATGCTTGCATAACAAAGATTATAAATTTTTACTAATATTTTTCTCTGTTTGCAACTAATTTGAATACCCTATCGCAATTGATAGGGTACTATCGATAGTTGTTACAATCGAATAAGGTACTGTTTTAAAACTTAATGCGTGTTATGCCAACGCGGAGAACCAGAAATACACAAATATATATCTAGCAGCCAATGAAAATAAATACAAGTCTCGAGCGTATTCGTATACCTCTGCTAATTGACAAAATGTTTCTCAATAGTGCCGTATAGTGGCAAACCTAAACTGTTTCAAGCACATGCTATGCTGTGTCTGTTAATCCATTTTCTTGGAATGACAGTACAATGGAGGTTGTCAGGGGCAGTGGAAGTTAAATTATTTGTTCAGTATCATTCAGAGGAAAATTTAGGAGTAATATATATATATATATAACGCGATATTGTGCTTAATTGGCTAACTTATTCGAACGACGGCTTGCTATGTATTTATTTCACAATCCAGCGACACCTACGCCATTATGCGGGCTTTCATCGAACCACAACTTTTGCTGGATTCCATTATATCATTGTGGTTTCTCTTCTACTCGACAGCAAACCGGAAGATTCGATGCTTTGTTTTGAAAAGAGAAATTTTCGCGTCTCTCTGTCATCTGGCATGCAATCCTGTTTCGATCTTTTTTCGACTTCTATATCTGGATATAAAACGTATGCTCGCATAGAAAATTAATTAGGAATCTACACGCTAATATCGAGAGAAACCTCAGAAATATGCTTTAGCTTAGTTGTGAGAATTCAAAGATAATCCCTTCCTTCAGTAACGTTTTTTGCATATATATGCGGAGCACTGAGTACAAACATAGACGGAGAAAGGGCCAAAGCCATCTAGCAGCACGAAGGAGGCTTGGATGGATAACTGGAGAGTGGATTTTTAACGTGAAACTATAAGCTATTTAAAAATTTATAACGAATTTTAGTAAAAAATTTATAATTTAAAAATTTATAACGAGTAACAAACTATGTTTTGCGTAAAATTTGGCCACGAACAGAACGTTGCGCGATTTTTGATCAAATTTTCAAGACTTTATAGCGATACACCCAACAATCGTACAATGCCATTTAATCTCCTAGCACAGCTTGGAGCTGAGCAGTTGAGCATTAAGGAGCTTAACAGACTCAAAATGTCAACTTGAAAAAACAAACAGACTTTGAAGCGAAATTGAGTCGGCCGGTATTTTCGTCTGGCTGAGATCTGTGACATCATAAGGAACGCTATTGTCAAATGGTTAATTATGACAATTAGAATGGTCAAACTTACTTCGGGTGAAACTGGGGACCGGTACACATGTTTTCAAAGACAATGTGATGCACTATAAATGTGATTTGGCAAACATGACAAGATATCAACGTTTTCGGCTATGATTCTCCTTAAAATCGCCACTTCCAAAGCCTTACTACCTAAACTATTAGTAAAAATAATGGGGGTGTTTCAATAGTTGTGTGCGAAATTCCCATGTAAACTGAACTATATGAGGTTTTAGTAATGCAGAGAATTTGAGTTTTGTCTCTGTTGATTCTTTGTCCAGCTGCCAATTGAAATCTATGTAGTTCTTGAAATATTTCTATGGTGGATCGAAAGTGACGTCATCACCATACTGGTCAATCTTGTGTTCGTAATTCCCTAGCTTCCATGTATACTAGCATTGAATTGCACCGACCTTGCGAGTGGTTCTATATTTATGACATAAAGTAGCATGCATCCTATTCTAATTCGTTGTCCGATATCAATTTCTTTAGAGAGCCTACCATTGTCATCTACTCGACTTTTTATACCGTTGTATATGCTTTTGATTACGTTTAATATCCTGTTTCCAAGTCCAATTTGGTGTAATATTTAAAAAAAAAAGTGATTCACTATCAAATGCTTTGAGGTTGTCAATGAGTATTAGCGACCGGGGATGTTTTTCATCTTACAATATCCTAGAATGGCATCTGTGTCATAGTGGACATCTTCCATACATCTTTGTGGGAGTGAACATTTTTGGGACGAACTTATTATGTTGTTCAGTACCGGTTCTAGGCGTTTGACAATGCTTCTCGGTAGAATTTTATAGTCCGTATTTAGTGTGGTTATTGGTCTCCAATTCTTCAAATATGTTTTATCGCCCTTTTTCTTATATCAATTTTACGTTAGCTATGGTTGTAGATATTGAAATTCAAAATAATGTTCATGAGTTGGGTAAACTGACTTTTTATAGTCCCAGAAAGTTAGGCAAAAATCCTAGCTAGTGCTTTGGTTATCTGTGGCAGCAAATGTAATCGATTCTCTGTTTCGACTCTCTAATAATCCATTTATATGTTTGCAGTATTCCGTTGTTCTTTCGTGGTTCCCAACCCTAAGTACATAATAGTTCCAGAAAATTAAAGGTCTTGTTCGGTTTTCAGGAAAACAGTCCGTGGTCTTGTTGTCTTGGAAGCGGAAGTGGGGTCTGTCACTGGCGTCGACGAGGCGGCGGCGGAGTAATCCATGCTGTCGGAGTTCCAAGACAACAAGACCACGGACTGTTTTCCAGAAAACCGAACAAGACCTGGAATTGGTTCTTGGAACATTTTTTCTAGTTTTTGTTCGCATTACGTGTATGTTCATTTTGGTGAAAAATAATCGACTGACTGGTCGGCTCAGGGCTTACCTTAATTAACAGCGAATAATCCAAAGGAGCTGAAAACTTATATCGAATATAGTAAACTTCTAACATGTTTGAATATTCAATTCGCTTTGGACATCCTGATTTTTGGCTTTCATTTTCATCAACTGCCTTTGCTATATAAAAGCAGTATGCTCGCCAGCTTTACATTCTATGGGAGTGTTCCAGATTTATATTGGTAAGACTTTTGCTATTAGCCATAAAACTATTTGTAGCGCATAAAAATGTGTTATGTATTTGACTGACCATCTATCTGCATCGGTATATGTGACACTTTCTAGATCAGGGGTTCTCAACCTTTTCCCTGTTAAGTACCCCCTGAGTCATGAAATAATCAACACGAACCCCCAGTAATCAGACACCAAACAAACTTGTAATATATTAACTAATAATTTTTAAACTGTGTTTTAAAGCAGTGGTTGCCAACCACTAGTCCGCGGACTGGCACTGGAAGCTTTTTTGTCGGTCTGCAAACATTTTTGTTGTTTTTCAGTCTTTTCAATCGCTTTACCGAACCCGAAATAACGACGTTGTGTTTGTTTATTACGCAATTTCTCTTTCGCCGACATATTTCTGTTTGCGGTATCAATGGCCCGACGAAGTCTTGGCGCCGAGTAATCACACTTTTTCGGTTCCGATTCATCGCGATTCGCCCGTCAAATCTGGCAAGATTCGGAAAGCCAAAGATAGGCACATGTATTTTTTAATATGAATTTACAATTAAAAGGTTATGAATATTTCTTTGTTCAAACCAGAAAACAGTCATGGACAGTATAATATTCCAGTGCTTCGCCATGACATCCAGTAAAATATGAGCTAGTTCCGACCCTGCAGGTTTGTTTCATGCGTTGGTTAACAGCAGAAGAATTAATATGAGATCAGTTAACCAACAAATTATTTTGATATTTTTCAATAAGAACGAGGAGAATAAGTTTCTTCAGGAGAAAGTTTGATCTACTTATTTCAATTTTTGGCCGGCGCAATAATTTTTTTATTCATGTGAAATGCTTTCAAGTGCCAACCATTGCATTACATTTCGCAAATATATGTTATTATTTTCTATTCCACTCATTTCAATTTTTTGCCCGTCCGCGAATACATTTTATTTAATTTTACCGATCCGCCAGAAAGGTTGGGAACCACTGTTTTAAATGATATTAAACAAAAGTATTCATTTCATTAATACAGAACATTAGTGTGAAGGCTGCCCTTGTTTATTGCAAATAAGTTTCTCAATTCGAGAAGCAAACAACACATTGTCTTTTGAGATTTCCCAGTTTGGCTGCAAAGTTGTGGAATTCCCATTGTTGAGTCACAACAACGCAAGATCAGGGAAAATCCATGCTGAGTTTCAATCGGCACGCATTTTTCTCTGATAGTAGAGGACATTAAAAAATAGCAACACATAAAAGCTCAACTGTCATTCAAGTACCCCTGGAAATCTTCTCGTGAACCCTTGGGGGTTCGCGAACCACAGGTTGGGAATCCCTGTCAAAATATTCAAATACAATTATATTCAAGTTAGAAATTTAGAGCCCGATGTGGATCTCGTTCTTGAAAAAATGTGGAGGGGAAAAGTGGAAACAATTGTTTTTGGCTGATCTCATAAAAATGCAATAACTGTCGCTGGGGATATTACACCAAAGTCTTCAGTTGATCCCACCAAAATGAGAGAGAAGCACACTCCTCGCCCCCCTCCCCTTTTGGACCACTTTTTGGTGGTTATGCGTGTTATTTGTAAGTTTTTAGTTGTGTCAGTTGTAAATCGAATAACTAAATTGCGGCTAGGTGTTTTTTAACGTTTTCCATTATATATTTGGTCATAAAACGAAAGTGATGGGAAAATTCATTATTCAATTCAATTCGTTTATTACTCCAGACCGCTGTGGTCCATATAAAAACAACACAACAAATAAACATAAGCAAACAAAAATAAGGCAATAAATACATAAAATAACTGATATGACAATCAGATTCACAGTAGTAAGTCTCAAAAAAGAGTCATAATATAGCAATTTAAGAGACCAAAAGTGAGGTATAGAATTTAAGGTAGCACATAACAAACAGTATCTGGGAATCAAATAATGATTGTAATAAAATGTTATTGGAGTCATTACAGTCAGAGAAATAAATAAAACACAGGTAATTTGTATTAAGTTATAATATACATCGTAAATAGTACCAAGTGAAGGCCCTTGCTTGTGGTTCCACGGAGTTCTCCACTAAATGAGAGTGGGGACTAAAAATATCTGTACTGGGATATCGCATAAACTTCGCTTCGCCAATTTGGCAAACAAATTTTTTGTGATAATGATGCTATTACTACCTAACTTGAACGAAGTATTGTGACATAACAAAGGCTTGGATACGTGAAGGGAATTTAGATCTATTGTTATTAACCTGTTTAGAAATATGTTTGGCCCTATTATGGCTCGTACATAATATACGCATTATTAGGGTATATATGAAGTCGTGGAGGACAGTTTTACACTGATATAAGCTGGCTTTAATCGTTTGAGAGGAAGATGCGGCTATGTTCAACAGGTCTAGGTTCGAATTCAAGTTATATATTGATACCGCTAACGCTGCGATAGACTAGCCTAAAATTAGCTATCAGTGCCTATAGGCGGCACGTGGTTTATTGTTTTGAATAAAAATGATAGTTTTGAACATGTGAGGTGGTTTGTAAGCGCCAACATTCCATAACACTCTCAAAATCCACATTAGAAATTTTGCAATGATAAAGTATGGGGAGGATCTTCCAGGGGTCAAGGGTCGGGGAAACATTACCAACTGTCATACGAACCATCTGAGCGTGACGGCTACTGCCAGACCATAGTTACCACTGAACTGGAAATTGATAATTCACGACAGTGAGGGATGCAAGAAAACCATGCACAGACATCATACCTTATTGAAGAAAAAATATACAGATATAGAAAGTCTATGATACTCTTATCTTAGCTTCAATATTGCAGTCTGAACAATATAAATCCTAGATTGCCCTCCAGGAAAAACTGAAAAAACGATAAAAAGCCAATTTCTGTTTGCAAAATGTCATTAACCGTAAATGTTAAAAAAATTAATGCACTTATCTGATTGTGATAGAATTCATCCGTAAACAAGTAAACGCCGGTCGACAGAAAAGGAATGAGGATATTCTGGCAGAAAATTAGCTTGTACTGTGCGTCCAACACCAAAATTTACCACACCGCTCCTCCTCACTCGCCTTGAATCGAAAACATGAAACCAACTCTGGAAATAAATGTCAACATTTCATACCGCCAAAAAAACAAAAAAAGTTGTCATCGTACAGCGTCAGTCGGCCGGAACGAAAGAGTCGAATAACTATCATTATGAGGTAACTATGGTCAGACACTATGGACTAATGTTGAGCACGAACAGGATTCAGTACTCCGAAAAACAGGAGTCCGGCAGTGTTTTCAGCAAAAAGGTTCGGATCAGGAGTGGGAATATTCTCGGTTGCCCGAAGTCAATCAGGAGTCCCAACTAAATCTATAATATATCCTATATTTCTGTGGACTTCAAGAGATTCGTTTTTTATGTGTCAGAATAAAAAATAGCGACATCTTGTGACGTGTCCATATATTTGAGCACAGCTCTCTTGTTTTCAATTGTAACTGTTTTGTTGAGTCATGCGGGTCTCGTGTAGTTTCGTACTTAACGTACTTCTAGTGGGCGTAGCATAACAATTTTTTGATATGTCAATCCTAACCCCTATCTGACTACGCCATCTAAAGATTACGTCATAGAGCTTGCCAAATATACGTATAATCTCCTGAAATGGCATTGGCGCCGACGATAAAGAACTGACTGACATTATCGATCTCTCTCCCATTGGAATCGTCGCGACGAGAAAACGAGAGGAATAACTGTTCGATTTCGGATGCTCGTTTGCGCGTCTTGGATGGCAGTTCGTATAGTTTGAAGGGCTCTATCACGTCACTGTGACGTCGTGTTGACGTAATTTTTGGATGGTGTAGTCAGGTGGGGGTTAGGATTGATACGTGAGAAAATTGTCCTGCTAAGTATGTTAGGTACGAATAGGGTTGCCAACTATGAAAAGTCTCAATAAAGGACATAGATTACCGTCATCATTTATTTTGTAACTTGCAGGAAAGAACAATATAAAACAGCAAACTACAAATTATATACAAGCTAAAAAGATATATTAAAAAATCTTCATGTATTTTTCATTCAATGTTTATTTAACATTGACCCAATCAAGCTGCATTCTGTGAACAGTTTAGTGCTTTGAATCGTGCCAATTTTTTTTTGAATGAGTGCAACTTCATCAAGAAGGTTAAACATATTTAAATTAAGTTTGTCTTTTAGCTTCAAATACTCTACAATTTTTACAAGTGGGTGATATTCTGGAGAAAGATTACCCAAAAGAGATTATTTTCCAAATGTTGAATTTTCATCAAAGTCAAATCTTTTTTCCAAATACGTTATCGCAGAGTTGAGAAATAATCTAAAATCTTCGAGACCAATTATATTCTAGTTAAAATTCTAGTTATATTCTAGTTATTGAACTAGAATTCACTTAAATCTTGGAGTGTTGCCACTTGTCATCTTCGGAAAATTAATGTAAAATATTTGAAATTGTTAATATAAGTGGTATTTCTTTGGCCATTTGAGCCCTGCCGAAGCGAAATTAAAAAGAATAATTAAAAGCAAATACATAAACGGAGGCAATTTAAGAACGAAACAATATCAAACACAGTACTATAACTATCAGGCAAAACGACGTTGGAAAAAATAAAGGACAATTATCACCTTAAAAAGGACAAGGACAAAAATCTCAAATAAAGGATTGTCCTTTGAAATAAAGGACGGTTGGCAACCCTAGGTACGAAACTACATGAGACCCGAGACATGTTTGGTTTTTTATCAGGGGTGAAATTAATTTCCTTTTCCAAATAGCTGCTAGCTGCTTTTTTCCTCCATATAGTTCCATACTTTTGCAGTTTATTACGCTTACTCTGTAAAGTTTTCTTTTCCAAATGGCTGCTAGCTGCTTTTTTCCTCCATATAGTTCCATTCTTTCGCAGTTTATTACGCTTACTCTGCAAAGTACTTCATTTCATAAGGCTAGGGGTATGTAACTTCTCTCCTCTGTAAGGTTTACCTCCCAAGTATCAGGAAAATCGTGCTTCGGGGTACTCCAGTGCAACGAGAAAATGCATTGCCTACGCATCCAGTCTGCCAGTGCGGTACCATCACTTTTGAGGTAGCACTGTCCGATTTTTGTGGAAGTATAAAGTGTAACAAAACAGCTCAAATGTATAACAGGTATACAAGCTAGTCTGTATTCAATCTATATTTGAAAAGAGACTGTTAAAGCGAAGCTAACACACAGCGAGCTCTTCAAACAGTCAAAGCCAGTATAAAACGTAAACGCTGACGTACCGTTCTCCCCAGCGTCCCCTCAAACCGTAAATTTATACTACTACGCTCAAACCAAAGTGACTATAAACTATATATAGTAGACTATTTATAGTCACTTTGGCTCAAACGACAGAAAAAACGTTACTGGCAGCATCGGTCAAAGGTCATGAAAGTTGGTATTATCAACAACGCATTGGCATTTGGCAATAATGCGTGCTCCCATTAGGAGCAGGCCCGTGCAACTAACTTGTCCCATTATGGCGTCATATGGACGCCATTTTCGATCATTCGGCTTGGGTAGTGTAACGCGATCAAGCCTGGAAAGGTAGTCTTTGATGGATCTTGGGGCGGATTTGAAGCGGTGATTTTCTTCCGGTAGTGTGGGAATCCGTTAAGACGTCCTAATCGGCATAGAACTCTATTACATTAACGTGCCAGATGCAACCCTTCCGGTAACAAACAAAATATTATATATACAACCCATGGTACTCCGCCCACCTCCTGCTGACGTTTTTGTCAAAATTATTATCATCTCGTCCATCTATTAAAACTCATGTAGTCGCGAACAGGTATAAAATTGTGTAGTATGACTGAATAATCACTCATCTACCCGATCTAGGTTGTAGTATTCCAACGATTGAAATAAATGAGAGAAAGAGAATTTTATTTCGTCAACCCAGAACACAGTCATCGTAATAACAACAAAAAATAGAGCAACAAGAAAAAATTCCTGGTACAAACAGAAGGGTGTATTACTACCTCACGGTTCTCTAAGTCAGCTCCCACCTTCATTGCTATCGATTATCGGTTTCAAGATCAAGTAAACTAGCTTTAACAGGTAAACGTTCTCACAATAATGACAACAAAATTGAAGAGAGGGGAGTTTACTCACGTCACGTTATTAGTATATTTAGTAGAGACAAATTTTTGTAGAGAATTTTTATTTCACCAGATTCAAATAATGCGATGATGGTGTATCCGACGCGAGATAAAATTACAATACAACGCATGACATAAAACTAAAGTTCTATTCGTTCTGGCCAACAACAAATACTATGGTGAGTCTATTGGCGAAAGGAAAACGAAATATTCGAGGAGTGTAATAGCTAATACAAGTTAAAAACAACGATCATCTATATTATGATCTAGTAATAGTAAGTCACAGCCAATACTCTGTGATTAAAATAAAATTAGTTACGCAACAACCCAGGAAAAAAGGTACCCGATATATTAATTCAATTTAAACAAGAATAGCAATATTAATATTAATTCAGACAGCAGAGACACGGATGAAAAGATTAAAACGCAGATACAACGATGCCATTCCATTTCTTTGTCACTAATTAAGGATATAATGTACTGTACATCACAGAAACGAATGTCATGAATGAGACATATGTCCAACCAAGTACGCACAACAAAGTAGTATTATAGCAAAATGGAATCACCACATTAAATGAAGTGAAATTCTGAATAAGATTGGATAGCAGAGATTTATCATTTCGTGACAGAATTACAACCAGTCATAAGTTACAATTACTATATTTTCCCAACGGATCTAACAATTTGCTCCTTCGAAAATGCCTGAATGATGAAGTGTAATAGTACACATTAGGTAATTTAAATAAATATGTGAGTAAATAATAACAGTATAATTTTAACAATCACTTGATATTGGTAGTTCTCGCTGCCGTTCTGCTCCCAAATTGCTTAACAGATGCAACTGATGTTATGTGTCCCGCATGGATCCTAAGCCTTGCTTTAATGAATCGCTTCACAGAATTTGCTGCTGTAGTATGGCATTCTGGAATATTAGCCGGAGGTGATGGTAACGAGGACAAAACAACGTTTTCGATGTTAGAGAATGCTTTGACACTTTCGATAATCGATCGGAAAATACATTCTACTCGAACAAAATATTCAAAAATTAATGGAGTTGGGGGGGGGCAAAGATGAGCGGTTAAGTTGTCAGTGGTCAGATTTTGATTAGAGTTGTAGGATTTAAATAGTGAAAGTATTGCTTCTGTCTTTTGTGTGATTATGTTTATGTCCGATGTAACGAAAGCACTCATACACAAGGCACATTCTTTAGGAACTTCCTTGTGGATACTCCACCCAATTAAATAATATAACCCATTTCCCTCGATAAAATCTAACAAAGGAGTGGCAGCACTAACGAGTGTATCGAGAGGGTCAGGAGATATGCCTTCACCGTTTTCATGATTCACATATGGTAAATGATCCTTAACGAAGCTCAGCAAATAGGGAGTCTCATCAACATCATAGTTTGACGACGTCGGCACATCCATAAATTGCCCCACTATCACGAGCTTCAAAGCATTTCTAAAATGAATCAGAGAAAGATGGGAATTTCCGAAACCTCTGACCTAAATAACAATATTGCGTTTATGCCTGGTGTTATATCATTTTCGGTCGCTTACTTGTGATTGTATTAGAAAAAAAATGTTTATCAATAAAACCCACCTGTGAAAACAAATTTTCAAGAGCATCTTGGGTGAAGCGACCGCTCATTATATAATCTAATTGTCCATTAACAACCAACTCTTGGTGAAGTGATAGCAAAGCAGTTGTGGACAACTTAATTCCTCTCAACACAGGTTTAAAAACATTATCAGGAAAAGCGATGTTTTGAAGTACAAACAAGGCTTAAAAAAGTGATGGAAGATGAAAGTTTATCTCTTCGCAGCAGAGCTGCTCGAATTTTTGTTTTTTCAAAACATTTAAGTATTTTAAATCACCTCATTACTTTTCTCCAACTTGCTATCCGAATCTGAATAAAGTGCCGTGCCTGTGTGACGACAATTCATGAGATCAAACCAATTGTTCAAGAGTTGTAGAAAAAAGCTGTTGTGCGTGCATGATTTGAAAAAACACCAGCCGCTACGAGAGACCTCAGTGCGGAGGCGACAGTGTGGCTCATCACCTATTTATAACAAAACAGTAAATTGCCATCCAAATTCTGAATATCATGAACTACAGATAAAAAAATTTTGTGGCAGCATAAAATAATCGAGTTTAATGGGAGAAAGTGTAGACAAATTCTACCTGACAAGCCATATTAACGCGCATTTTCTCATATGTAGAAGGGAACACATGATCTTTCGTGAGCTTCGGGGCTAACTTCATCTCTCTTGTGCCTTGATATTCAACCAGCCTTTTCACAAAGGATGAATCAACCTGCAAAGATTCCAATGCAAATATAGGTCAAAAAAATGATTATAATGTATCCCCGTAAATAAGGCAATTATACAATTATTTATATATACATTGTTGTGTTTAGAAATTTTAGATGGAATTTCCAATTGATTTACTCACTGAAGCTGTTGTAAGTGCATAGCGTCGAACCGTCGCGTCGGGTAACGAAATAATATGGTTCAAAAACGCAGTCCTTATATTTTTTAATAAATGAGGAACATCGGCCATGAAATGCAAGTTGAAGTTCTCGTCGTATGGATGTCTAATTTTGCAGTTATCTCCCATCCTGTAAATATAGACAGTTTCATTATACTTTCGGATTGTCTCATACCTATAAAGTGAGAGCATTTCATTTCCAGTAAATATACCTGTAGCATGACACACCCGCAGATCGCCACATAGCCTGATTGGAGGGCCCCATATCACTGACTATGCAACATACAATAAAGCCTCGTTTCCCCATTTCCAACACAAGCTTATTTGTTACACTCCATAGAGCATCCCCACCAATAGATGCTCCCGTATAAAAATATGCTAAAAAAGTTTGTGCAAAATTGTTTATTTGAATATATTAGAAGTGCAACGTGTTATTGATGATAAGTCACACATTACCAATTAACTGTTTCCATTTCGTCGTGACGCCTTTAACCATAAAACAAAGGACATGCGACGCCATCGTTGATGTCTGGCCAGTTGCAAACTCGCTACTGATGTAGCCAACGATCATATTCAGGGACGGATCGTACTCCACAGCATGGCCTATTTGTACTTCATCTAGTAGAAGAGTACAAAGTCGTTCACGCGGTGAGAAACCTTCCATTTTTATCTTCATCCAATCAAGAATAGTATGCTGAATCCCAGGGGCAAGTTTCAAATTAACCACACGATTGCAAAGTGTTCTACTCGATGGTAACGGATAGCCCAGACTTCGAATGAAGTTGTAACTAAAAATAAATAAAGTATATATATCGGGAATTTTTCATCACGCCTTAATCAGAAAATTAAATGCAACAGGACACATACCCTTTCACACCAGTGGCACATCTAACTTTCAAAGCAGTCATTACTGTTTCATCCGCCCATTTGTTTCCCTTTGACGCGAATGTTCGTTGCAATGCGTCGATTTGGTCATCATTGAAACATGACTTGAGATTTCGCTCCATATTTAAAAGTTTTTGCTCGAGTTGCGCGATCTTAAAGCATTGAGACGTTGATTGTATGGATACTCATTATTCTCGTGATTAACAAATATAAATTATACCTGATATTTTAAACTCCTGACCTCGTTTTTCAAGCTCACACATTTCTTACAATTCTGTGCTGTATCTTTATATGGCCCAAAATTAAATGTTTCGGACACAACTGGTTCGTCCTGATGGCCTTTAGCGTAGGGATGCTCACTCAAACCTAATACGTTGATGAAGATATTTATATGGCGTTCTCAAATAGAGATCATTATGGAGTTCACAACTTACTGTTCTGTTCTTTCTTGGCACTTCTTGTCTCATTTAATATTTTAGTCAAGTCACGTCTCGATGACTTTAATTTTCTTGGTGGATTTGGCACATTAAAAAATGTTGGTATCGCATCCCATTTTAGTTTTTTCCAATTATCCTTCCTTCTCAGTTCAAATTGGTATTCTTCGTCTGAAAATGCAGTAAATGATATACAGTATACGTAGTTCTGAAATAATGAGCGCTATGCATCCCATTTCTTTTAACTTTCTATTTCACGATACATTCGAAGTCCTGCAGCACTGCTTACTTTTATATTACAAAAATTGTATAGCTGCATAAATATTCATCAACCGGTGTGATGATTTTTTAGAGAGAGTTCAGGAAACATAATAGTATTTGCTGTAGTTGCTAAGTTGATTCTGTTTTCCTGATCTTGTCTGATGAACACACATTCTCATAGTTCTGAATACATGTATTGCAATTGTATGTATTTACAAATACAAAGGACAGTTCCCAGTCATGACTGATAAGCCAGACAAAATACCAAGTTGCACTGCACGCACGAGTTCATTAATTACTTGTCCATTGTTCTCGTTTTTTTTTCTAGGATAACGAATGGTCGCTTTTAAGCTGGTTTTGGTATTATCAGGGCATGACGCGTTATCGTCATTAGAGCCGGAGCAGTGGCCAAGCTTGAGCGTGCAGTGAAAAGATACGCAAAATGTAACAAAATTCATAAAAACATAAGAAGGTTGAAATTATGATTATGAGACAGAGTTTGTGTGTGTTGAACAGTGTTTGGAAAGAAAAAGATTTGGTGTTAGTTCATTTTAAATTTAGGTGACAGATTACTACAAATACTTATCTCTAATACACATCGTTTCACATTGATAATTTTGAAGCGCTGAAAAAAAATATGCGTGTTGCGTTGATGAGCCTTTCCGGCTGTAATTGTGATGAGCCTCTTTGGGGCAATTAAAAATAAAAATGAAGATTTTACTTGCGTTTATGCAAATACATCCCTTAGCGCTAGTTCGAAATTTGTAAATTTTTCTGTCAATTTTGTAAATGAAATTTAAATATTTATAATAGAATATAAATTGCTATAATCGCGCGGTTTCTTGAAGTTGATTCGCGGGCGTTTCTTTCTGGAGTTCTTTCCGTTTCATATCTTTCTCATTTGTTTTTGTAGTCAAGACTAGTTTTTAATTTTACAGTTTTTTTTCGGTATGAAAAACAGTTCATATAGTGTGATTGTTTTACACACATTTTTTTAATAACAGTCCATAGTCCATATAATGTGAATGGTATACACATTTTTTTAACATAACAGTCTTTTTCTTTTTGTCATAGTCTTTGGTTCTTTGCTTTTATTCCTTGATTCATCGCTGATTTTGGGTTGATATCGAATTGTTGATTTTGATTTTTCCTCCATCTTTTTATCCGCGGTTTGCTTGTGTAGTTGATGTCTTTGGGGGTCATCTTTCGTACGATTGATATGACTCCATCTCGAAAAGACGCTGGTCCGTCTGTCGGGGATACCATTTTTTAGGAAACATAATTTACTATTTGCCGATGTTGTTGTCTAATTCTGTTGCTCTGATCTGCCGCTGTATATGCATATCTTCGTACATATGTAATGAAATGATATATTTTCACGCATACAATGAACAGGTCCAAATCATGGCTGATAATCCAAACAAAGTCAAAGTTTCACTGCAAGGGGCAAGCACGAGTTCGTTAATTGTACATTGTTCTAGTTCTTCTAACGAATGGTCGCTTTTAGGCTGGTTTTGGTATCATCAGGGCATTCCGCGTTATCGTCATTACAGCCTACAGGACTTGTTACGTGTTTTAGGATTAAGAGTTCGTTACTAATTTCAAGATTAGAATGGTTTTAGATTGAAACACGTAAATTATTAACCAAAAGCAGCTAATTTAACCAATATCCCATAATAGTTCGCAAACCTACAAACAATAATGGAGAAGGTTAAAGTGACACTTGAAAAATAAAAATAAGCGAACAGACCAAGTAGTCAGACCAGCTAGTAATTTCTTTCATTGCTTAATGGGTAATCCAGCACAAATGCCCCCCATACTTATCAGTTTAACCAATGACATTAAACAACATGATGCGCAACTCCGGCATTTTTGGCCGAAGATCGTATTCGATAGCACGCTCCAATGCACATACTTGACGAGACGAAAACGAGCGAATGTGTGCTGCTTTCAAGGCATAGCACGAATGGTGTTCGTGCCTGCTTTGACAATTGTTGTCGATTTTAATGATATATTGGAAAATTGAAGGTAAAAAGAAATCGGAAAAAAGTAAGGTAAATACTATTGTTGTATATCACACTCGGGCATCGCACTGTTAAGTACATGTGGGAAAGCCAGCTTTTGTCAAATACTACGAAGTTATTAAATCAGTACGGTACGTAGTTGCCCATTTGCCGAAATTGCTTATTTACTTACCCCTTATGGTTTCAAATAGTTCATACACCTCCATTTCGATTTTTTTTAGTCAGTGAGGATATATACTCATTGCTGTAACATACTATTGCTCATTCACTTTTATTGCGTATTGAATCAAAGGGTTAACAAGTTCACCTAACATTTCACTCATACCGGTCTATATTGTATAGTCTGATCTCTCAAGTATTTGGAGCCACCGATGCTTGTAATTTTCTGACTAAACCCCTTTATTAGTTGGTTTATATACCAAATTCAGTAAAACATTTTTTACATAAAACATGAGATATTGGATTTATTAGCTTTTCCAATCTAAATCATATAGACTACTTTATTTATTCTGAACAAAAATTATTGAATCTCCTCTCTTTCTTCAGATGTGAAAGTTTTGGAAAAACCTGTCTAAGCATTGTGGGACTCCTACAGAACAAGAGGCAATAGCAAAAATAGTAAGTATATCAATCAAGAAATTAAGCCGACATAAAGCAAAACTTTTAACTATTCGTCCAACCTCAATTTCCTAATATTTATTCACAGGACAACTGTAGCAGAAGGGGATATTTCAGAAGTCTGGCGACATATCAGTGACAGTGTGATTCCAAGAAATACAATCAGAATACTCCATAAATGTTTGCAATAGAAGAACAACTTATGGAGGCATGCAAAGACATATGAACCTCCGGTAGAGTTGTGTATGGCCCCTACATCCCGCAGGGCTTGAGGAAAATAACTAAAAATTCCGAAGCGTAAGATTGCATAAGCGGTCTTCTTTGTAAAAAGGCACAAAACATGCCAGACATACTTAAAACAGCTTTGGAAAATGAGGATTATGGGTCACTCACTACACCTGTGTTATATTTGATTCATCAACTTTTGGTAGTACTAAAGAAGAAATTCAGGAAAGGGTATAATCATGATTCATGATAAAATACTGTTATATATTTTGGACAACTTCAATCTAGACCAGGGATATCAAACTCGCGGCCTCAGAGAACTTCCAGTGAGGCCCTCGAACGCTTAACAATAATTGTAATAGTATTTTGGAGTTTTTTTTTATCTAAGTGTGATAGATTTTTCAACCTTTTTAAAGTGAAATTGAATATTCACACAGAAAGCAATTTACTGAAAGTAGTTTTGGAAAATTAATTTTTTTTTGTTCACATTTTGACCCAATTAAGAATACACATCAAGCTAGCAAAAGAATACTTGAATAAAACACTTGAGTGAATAAATTAAACGCAAAGTACATGAAGAAGGTGGCATTTTCGAAGAAAATGGGAGTTGCAATATTTCTGCATTTCACAAAATTTTGAAGCACATTGTTTAACTTGTCATATTTCCATCAGTACAATGAAAAACACAATGAGCTCAGCAGTCAATAGGACAATTCGAAGACCAACTTCGAACAGAAAATTTCCATGTGTTTGTATATTAATATAAATATACAACGACTTAGTTACTAAAAATCAATATCAATAATAATTCAAGCATTCCTATACTATGCAATGTGGCGCGAAATGTCTTGTCGAAAATATCTGTCATTTGTTTTTCTACTGATCTATTCATGAAATGATAAAAGTAACTTTTTTGCATTACTGGAATTAATTAAACATTCGCAAAGTTCCAGATTAACCCATGATCATGTGACCTCGTTAGTTAGAGTTGGTACCATAAAATCATTTCAGCCTGGCCTTAGTATGCTGGTGACACAAAGAGATGCCAAACGTCAGGACAAATGTAATTAAAAAAACATTGAGTTTATACTGTAGTATTTTTGTTAATTTTAAGTCCATATATTTAGATTAAGTCATTTTTAGTGTATGTATTATTCTTTCCTTATCCAAAGCTTGTTCAAAAATGATTTTGATGGTTGTATAAAGAATTTTATGATTTTTTGTAATAAATACAGTAACTTGCAATAATAGTGGAATGCAAATATTAATATGTAATTGCATTTGAAATTAAAGAAAATAATAAAACTTAATCAACTGTTTAGTTGCATCACAATATATGTCACAAACTAAAACTATCTGAAAAACATATCTTTCAAGTATACATTATCAAAAAGTGTTTTCGGCCCTTTTTACAATTTCCAAAATGCAATGCGGCTCTCGAAAACCCATGCGTTTGACACCACTGATCTATTCTAGACAATTCAAGCATTGCTTTGGGAAATAATATCACTTCAATTAAATTGAAAAAAATCTCGCTACATAAATACAAAATCGTTGCTATCATAAAGGTAAACCAATTCAGCCACTCGGAATATATTGGCCTTCACAAAGCAATGGAGGCAAAATTGAGAGTTCGTGAGCTATGAACTTTTGTTCTTTTCTTTGTCTTGAACTTTTCATACTCCACAGCCCCTATTAATTTTTTTTAATTTTAATTACCATGTGATGGTCATACATATCTTTAACTTGTATTTTCTGTCATGATGTATTATCTCAATGTGTCAAACCGTAGTAGTATATATTTACGGTCAAACTTTTAATTAGTGTGCATATTTTGCTTCCAGAAGACATAAATGTACAGTATTGTCTTGTTTATTACCTCAGCTTGGAGTATTGACAAGAAAAAGGTGCCCGTAAAACTCTTTGTTATAATCAGAATTCACAATTAATAGGAATCATAAACAGCCAACATTCAATGAGAATTATATGCCAAATCCCTCAGAATAAATTTGTCTTCTAAAATCGGAGGAAGGCAAAACATATAGGTAGTTTCCATTCATACAAGTCTTTCAAGAAGACTTACTCGAGCCAAACTAAATGAGCATCGTCAGATGATCGGTAAGGCTGCAAGTTGAATCAGCCCTGCAACCTCCCGCATAGAAGATATTAATTAGTGGGCTATGAACTAAATTCCTACATTTAGACACAAATCTATCTACGAGGCATTATGTACCAGCAATGTTACCTACGGTTAACTAAATATGTAATTATGTCTAATAAATTAACCTACTAAAGCAAGTTCGATAGGTGCAAACTAGTGTTATGGAATTGTATCACAGTACCGTTAAGAGAAGTAAAAACAGTTTTGCTGTTTTGTATGACACTCTCTTTAAATGAAATTTCAATGTTTAAGCGCAAACATTAAAATTACTAACTTTTAACTTTGTCATTATCTGCAAAATGTTCCACAAAATCTTTACGCTATCGCGTTTGTAATCTTCTCTGATAAAAAAAAAACGTCTATGATGTCCAGAATTACTCTTTACAGCTTGTCTGCCATTCCAGCTTTCCAAGTGAGCAAAACTTCTTAGATATAGAGATTATTTTCTTTCGTTACAGGCGCAAAAAGGCAGGCACTACACGTAAAGAAGACGCCGGGTAGCAAAAGCGAGCGGAAAACGAATCTTTCGCATGTAGTCTTATGGAGTGACGTCAGAGTTGCCTATCATGTTGTTTAATGTCATTGGTTTAACTAACGTTATTTGACTAACCTCACACAAGGAACTGCCTGGATCGGACTTTCATCCGCCACCCCGCCGGCAATTAACCTCCCATTTTTTTCTTCTCTCGTTATCTACCGGAAACTTGAATAATCGAACTATTTTGCTATTTCCATTACAATTGGGCGCTGAACAGCTTGTCATTTTACAGCACAAAGTAGCAGCATAAACGAGGATCAGGTACAACTGACAGATAGGCCGGTACGCACGACAGACGACGCAGCGACAATGATCGAAAATGGCGGCCAATTTCCATTGTTGCGCAACTTGGGTATATATGGGCTTTGATTAGGAGTAGCCACAAGAGGCTGTAATTCGCCATGTGGTTGAGCGGTCTAATCAGCTTCCAATCTAAAATCCTAATGCACTTCAAACATTTGATTTTACGTGTAGGAATTTTCTGCGATTCTGTCAGCTCCAATTTCGTGATTTTCTGCAAACTTTACAGAGGTAGTCTTATACCGGTAGTTTTATTTAAGAATGACAACATGGTACCGTACCGGTACCATATGTTACCTGTTATTTATCGGTACCGTACCATGCTGCCAGTACCGGTACCGGTAACAGTATAATGTCTGACCTGCAGCTGCATCTGCAGGTACCGTAGGTCTGTACCGTACCGTACCGTAGGTGGTAGAGATTTACCTAGAATTATTTCAGACTTTTTCATTGAATACCGTACAAACAGAATGCACTGAATTCAGCAATTTCACTGGGACCGTACGGTAACTATTTAGGAATTGCTTTATTCAGTTATTGGAAAAACATACGGTATATACAGGTCTGCAGGTAGACTAGTCTAGTCAATAATCTGAACTTGATGAGAAAACGACAGTACAGCAGTATTCTGTTATCTGGTTATTGGATCCCAATACTGCAATAAGACTTTTAATATATAAAGTACCGTACGTCGGAATACATTGCCCATCTACTGCAGTAGACTACTACTGTACTAGTCTATAACAACAAATGGCAACAATTAGACCTCTGTTTAAGTCTGGCAAGATTGTACAAAATTTACTTATTCGAACAATATCATCGTCACCATGGTATGCAATAGAACCAGCTACAAAAGACCATTCTCCTTCTGAAGGAAAAAGTAATAAACAGATTCTTTTGAAGCTTCGTAAAGACACCGGGTTTCCTTTAGCAAAATGCAAACAGACTTTGCTGAAAAATGACTACAACTATGAACAGGTGAATGAAACAATTGTGTGAAATATTTTTAGTGTTAACTCGTGATCCAATAGTTTGGTACTATTCTGCTATTACAGTATTAAGATAACTAAATTTTGATGAAACTTAAATTATGAAGGGCTCTGTGTCAAGTTATAAATCAGTAACACCCTTTTTATCTAAGTTCGACAATCTTAATTTAGGCACTGGAAGAAATGAATGAGAATGCTCTTAAAGAGGGATGGAGTAAAATGTCCATGTTAAGCGGTCGAGACACAAGCCAGGGCCTTGTAGCAGCTCAAAGAACTGGGAAATATGCGACCTTATTGGAGGTATTTACTCCGTAGCATTGTCCTCAGTGTATGAATTATAAATTATGTGGAGATCACCAAGCAATGGAGTCTTTGTAACTGTGATTGCAATTTATCTAGTATGAATTCGTATAGCTACAAAGTTGATTTTTCATCGATAATGGTATAAACGTCAAAGGGCTCAAGAGGGAAAGTTATTTCTGTCATAGGTCAAATAAAGAGTTCCTTGGCGAATCGGATTGATTCAAGAGCGATTGTATGTTGGACATACACTATATAGTTTGATATCTAATCATCATAGAATATTCAAATGGAGCAATTAGAATATTTTGCTTTTATTTGCAGGTAAACTGTGAGAGTGATTTTGTTGCAAAAACATCAGAATTCCAAAGTTTTGTTGCTGTTGTTACACGAGCAATTATTGATAATTTATCAAAAGATGCACAGGAACATGTAAGGCGTTTTATTAAAAAAACTTGAATGAGAATAGAATACAATATTAGCAGTGTATTGATAAACTGGTGTCAGGACAGGCAACCACTCTGGGTTTGTCTCTATGTTATGGCAAAAAGCTGCATCAAACATTTGTGTGTGTCATGAACATACAACTACTTGCATATCTTTCACTTCCATTTGTATCAAAATTTTACCTTCATATCCTTTATAAAATTTTACCTATTATGCAAAAAAATTGCTTGTTCATGCCGCAGAATGATTCACATTACTGTTGCTCAGTTACTTACCACATTCTCTTACTAACTGGATAACATTGGGTTAGCTGATGCATATTCGTTTGAGATGAGAAGCTAGGGTTTACTGTATGAATAGACTTTGAATGATTGTCTTTAAGATAATAATCTTATACTTGCAAATTGCAATTTATGTTTCCAGGTGGAATTGGAATCGAAAGAAATTCTTGCATTGCCTGTCACAATGAAATCCCAGAATATTAGTGATGTTCTTGCTGCAACGATTGGTAAGAATTCTGTTATATCAAATCATTGGATTTCTTGAATGGTTTTGCAGTAGGTGGAGGCTATACCATTTGTGAGGCCCGTCTTTAACAATGTGCTTCTTGGATCCACCATGACATCATATTAAACCTTCATAAAAATCCATTATGATGCCAAATATATTCCAATAGATGAGTATCACTCGTCAAGGCTCTAATAAAACGTCATTGCACTAAAAAAACGATATCATAACACCCGTTTCTAATCATGTGTGCTTTGCCTAATGGTAATTCCGACTCTGTGGTTTGATTGACATTTTCAAAATCTTTCTTGGTGTTATGGAGTACCCTTTATAAAAGTAATCTTTTTTTGCCAAGTGCCAACCTATTCTTAGTGCTTAATATCGTATACTTTTATCTTCAGGAAAATTGAAAGAAAACATAAGGGTGTCTAAAGCCCTATTTTCTTGTGTTGATGAATCTAACAATGAATTCATTGGAGTTTATACTCACCCAGATCTACAGACGCCTGTCAAAGGCGGAAAGTTACCACTCATGGGTCGATATGCAGCTTTAGTAAAAATGAAAACAAGGTCTCAAGGTATTCATCAAGTTAAATTAGCTCAAATCGATTATTGAGAATTGGTTGTTTTTATTCCTAATCCTTCTAAATGGCTATTCAGTTTTATTTTTTATTTTTGCCATTGTTAAATATAAACCATTAAAATGCTGTTCTAAAAATGGAATTTTTAAACCCATTGTTGTCTATATGACTATACATTGCTAGGACCTGTATCCTTCATCACTCAGAAGGTATTGCTTTGTTTGGATTGTAATGTAGATTTGAAAATTCATAAGTTCTGTTGGAAATATTGTTATTAAATCTGAGTTAACTTACTAATTTCAGAACCACAGCGGACATTATGGTTGCAAAGCAAAGCAAGAGACTTAGCACAACATATTGTTGGGATGAACCCAAGTTGTATTGGAAGCAGAAGTAATGTTGCATAATATCTCTATGATAATATATCAGGCGCGCAGCCAGGATTTTCAAAAGGGGGTTTCAAAATCGGAAATTCCCATTGCCGTCCACACCGCGATTACGCGCTCGTTAAAAGAGCCGCCTTTTCAGCGTATAATGATTTTTCTGTTGCTAAATATCGAGATTCTATGAGACTACGAGATTCTAAAATGTCCTTATATATTAATTTAATTGTTTCCACTGCACTAAAATACCTGGGAGATCTGTGGACATAAAAGCTGCCTGGTGTATTTAATTTTGATACGTATTTGACAAGTATACCAGTAAATCAAAAATACAAATTCACCTCCTCGAAATCCACTCCGAGTCGCCGCGATTACCCAGCTTGTTAAAAGAGCGGACTTTTTCAACGAAAAACAGTAATCAAAGTAATCAATCCATGACCGATACGGGCGTATTGAAAATGTCTTGCTTTATTAATTTAATTGTCTTCAATTTAGCCTGCGGTTGCGTCGACAAAACAAGAGCCACTCTTAAACACCATGGCAATCCGCGGGCATAAAAATAAAAATGTTTGGGTAAACTGCCCGATTATATATTGTTTTGATCCGTATTTTTTTGCTATTTTGTGAATTCGACAAATTTGAGACGTACTTGTAACACTGACTCCGCTCAATCGCAATGCTGCTACTCCGATTACTTTTAAAGATAAAACTTTTCGAAAAATCTGTAAATCTGCTATAAATTCTCACAGAGTAAAATTTATTTCAGTACAATAAAAACGATTGAATATACTTTAGATTAGTTATCTTATATCTACACAAACCGGGGAAAAGGTCGCGTTCTCGACTTTGTTTAATGTTAACACGAAAATTTTCGACAGCAATTTTAAAGTAATGGATAAAAAGGCAAATCCCGCCCACAATTAACCGTGTTTGGATTTTAGTGACTATATGTTTCTAAACGTCGACCAATCATAATATGGTTTCGCGGGTCTCAACAAAATTGTTTACGGTTTTATTTTCAGTATTCAATAATGCTGCTTTTCAATCGAAAGATTTAGGTCGCGGATTTACATCTTCATTTGTCTCCAGGATCTCGCCGCCGAATCTCGCCATCGTAATCGTTGCACAAATCACGCAGCGCCACTGTATGATATCTCCACACTTTTTGGTCGACTCCCGATTTTTGATATTTGTGTTATTTGGCCAGAAATCATCTTTACTTCGGTGTTTATTCTCCCTAAATCACTAATTCCCCCAACATAAGTTAGTATGTCTTGTCGACTTTTGTGAATCTACTGAGCGTTATTATACATTCATCGGCGGCAAGGTGTTTAAAGGAGTGAATCCGCGACGCAAATTTTTTAATTGAAAAGCTGCAATTTAAAAAATACTAAAAATAAAACCGAAAACAATATAAGTTTTATTGTAAGAGCTTCGGGGGCATTGTAAATTGCAAAATTTGACATTATGTTTGGTTGGCTGAAATCGAAGCACACATTTTATATCAGATCTTGAGATTTTCCTAACGGCAATAACGAATTCGCAAGATCGCAAAAAATACGTATAAAAGCTAAATATAATCAGGCAGTTTTTATATCCACAGATTGCCGTGGTATATTAGAGAAGTAATGTTTTTACTTTGTAAATAGACGCATCCATGGGTTGCGTTGAACCCAATTTAATTAATATAGAAAGACATTTTATATTCTCGTAGTTTATCTTGGGTTGAATATTTTACGAGACAGAAAAGTCATTATACGCTGGAAAAGTCTGCTCTTTTTAACAAGCGCGTAATCACGGCGACTGTTTTAAAAGGGGATGGAAATTTTCCATTTTGAAACCCCCTTTTGAAAATCCTGGCGGCACCCCTAGTTCCCGCTATTTGTTTTAAATTTTAATGACTTCAGCAGAAAAATGCTATTATTTGAATGTTTTATTGCAGCAAATGCACCCATCGTGGGAGTTGACAGCGTAGGTCCAATTGTAGAATCTGATGCTAGTGACTCTGTGGAAAGAAACGAAGAAGATAAACCATTATCACAATTGGAAGATGAAGAAATAGATTTAGAAGAACAATATTTTAATAATGAATTACCTACCAATTTCATCGATTCTGACCAACTCTTACATCAACCATTTCTCCTGGACCCAAACATCACTGTTCAGAATTGGTTGGATATCCACAACTTAGAAGTTTTGTATTTTATTCGTTATCGGCTTGGAAGTGATAATGTCTGATTTCGATAGTAATTTTCAATGTTCAGTCATATGTAAACAATATGTTAACTATCACTGCATCTTGAGTTATCAATTTAATCGCTATAACCATAAACTGGTCGTCGGTAACAGTGCTCCGTAGGTTCATAGGATTTCTTATTTATCCCGGGTTTCGAGGAAAGATTATGGAATCTAAATAAATTTATACTACCGCCAGATTGGCTCGAACCACGGCTCCTCGTCCGGTTGTCTGCTCTAGTATGGGGGGAATTTTCCGCCTACCATATCGCATGTGCCTATTTTTAAGATGAGGAGGCGCGTTGTGTCTTGTGCATTCGCGGGTAACATTTACGGCGGCAAGCGAGTAACGACTATCATATGACCGCGAATATGGGTTGAGAAGTGGTATATATGTCCCGTTCACACAGTCGGCGCTTTACAGGGCAGTGCCGATTTTACCATGAGGCGACATAGACTGGCGCCGAGTGGCCTTGACGTTCAAAATCATTTTTGATTGTAAAGGCTTGTTCCATAATAGGACCGTTTTAAAATTTCAGAAAACTGATATTTGTTTATTTTTTTTTTTATAAGGTTAATAATTCTTGTTCCAAACATTTATCGTTCAAAATGGTAAAAAAAAAAGATCCAATGAATGAATTTGTCTAAATTTGAGAAACTATCTTAAAAACTTGTTTGGGATAATTGAACAGTTTTTAACATAATATTGCCTTTCGATTTTGACTAATTTGGAAAAACAAGACGGTAGGAAGGCGCCCATTATGGATCTCCGCCAGCAATATTGTGCGGAAAAAATTGTACCAGTTGATTTAAATCGCTCTGCATCTCGTAGTTATCTTTACGCGAAAGTTACCATGTGGCTAATAATTGAAACGTGTTCACTGAAATACCTAAAGCTTCCTCAGTTTATGGACAATGGAGACGAACGCAATTTTCCATGTCGGAAATCCCTAGACTGAGGAAGCCTTAGGAATTTTAGTGAACATGATTTATTATTAGCCGCAGTATACCGCTCACTCTAGGACGCGCGGTCATTGTCGTTAGGTAGTACGCCGTCGTTATAAGGGCAATTTTTGCGTTGATGGTAACGGTTGCGGGCCGCTTCGTGTATCAGCGGAGAAAATTTCCGTAATCCGCTTACCCAATCACGCTGCCGTTCTAGATCCTCAAGTTTCTGTGGATGGTAACCGGTTCGAGGAACTGTCAGCTATCAGTGGAGATCCTGAGCGCCTACCGGCTTGTACTAATTTAACTAAACTCCAACGAATCTTAGAATTATTATATATATAGATAGACATAGTTTATTTTGAAAACTCCACAATATACACAAATTAAAAATGGAGAATTCTGGAGAGAATGCAAAACCTTTAAAAAAGTTCAAAACATGATGATTATCATGTGCCCGCTCACCAACACGCATTTACAAAAAAAAAACGGATTTTGTTAAACAATGCTTGGGCGAATGTATCAAACTTTCGGGCTGTTGTACTTTTTAAAATACTCGGGCCAATTCAATCTGATTCAAAGACAACGTGTGTAGGTGTAATGCAATGTGATGAGGTGACGAGAAGCCACGAAAAACTACATTGATTCGGCATCGGTGAAAACGTAATAAAGTGATTCAAGATACATATTACATACAAACTTAAATCAAAACGATCAGGAAAAACACTAGCTGACTAATCACACGTAAACATGTATGTAATTGATGAAGCCAGTGTTCTTAAAAACAGTATACACACAAAACAATAATACGCCATGAAATGAATGTGAAATGTTGCCTGGTTATTTCATGTTACATTACAAACTTTTTATGCATATATCGTACCAAAGAGATTGTTCGAATTCTCATTTATTTTTCAATTGGAATTTGCAATATATATATATCTTCTGACAGTTGAATTTCAATCCCATACTCTTATTCATATTTCTGATTCAATATATTTTGATTCTGTTGTTGCCTTATACTGCAGCGTTTCCCAACCTTTTTTGGTCGCGGACTATTTTCTCACCGGCGAAAACCTTTGCGGGCTCAAGGTGCGTTTATTGCAACCGTACTCTGTGTGAAGAAGTAAATAAAACCAAACACAACAGAATTTTAACGGCACAATATTCAATCCATGACAACGACGAGAATTTAAAATGTCTTTCTATTTTATTTTTAATTGTGTTCATGGTAACTCGCGGTTGAGTCGACGGGTTACGACAGGATGAAAGCATCACTTCTTTAAAATGCCACGGCAATCTGCGAACATAATAATGTGAGAATATATTGCCCGATTATATTTAGTTTTGATACATATTTTTTTGCGATCTTGCGAATTGTTATAGCCGTTAGAAAAATCCTACTATCTGCTATAAATTTCCAGAACGTACAACTTTATTTAGTACTTAATTTAAAGTTTATTAGTAAATCAAAAATACATATTCATCGCCTTGCTTTATTATGACAATCCGTGGACATAAAAATGCGTGGCAAATTGCCCGATTATATTTTGTTTCAATTCTTATTTTTGTGAATTTGACAAATCTTACAACACCTACGTGTTTTCGTCGGAAATCCGCAAGTGAGTCCCATCGTTTGATTAACCGACGCGCAAGTGACCTGTCGCGTCAACTGTTACCAAATTTTCGAATAGTTAATTGCTATTCTAATAGTTGAATATTCGAATATATGCCCAGCCCTACTCATTATTCAGTAATTATTAACTCGATTAATGTTATGTGAATAAACTTGCTTTTTATGTAAATTCTAACGTAAATCGTAACTTCTGATAGTTAAGTTTCGCAAGAACGTTCGTGGCCCGCAGTGAATTTCTGGCTCGTTGCGGACTCATTCAAATGCTCTGCGGACTCATTTGAGACCGCGGACTCGGTTTGGGAAACACTGCCTTATAGGGTGCTCCCGAAGTATTCGTACCAAGTGGCGCACAACCTGAACATAGTATGTGTACCAGGTTAGGGTTTTTCAGGTTGTGCGTCATCTTGGTACCGATACTTGCGGAACGCCCCCTAATGTCCTTCTCATCTTGGCATCGTCTGTAGGCTCCGTGTTGGCATTCCTTCACTCCCTTTGCTCGATGATTCAAGGTAAACAAAATTATGTGTGCAGAATTTAAAATAAATTCATACTAATACTATAACCTGTGATTCCACAGCACTACTATTTACTGTTTCGGATTATTTTTATCATAGAACCGTTAATTTCCAAATTTGTAAGAATAATTTTGTTCATCTGTAATGTTTTATTTATATATTGGTAATTAGGCCATGCCCTGGCGATACCCGGGTATTATGATGTCGGATTTCTGGTGCCATGACGTTGCATTACAGCTTGAGTTTAATATGTTCCTAAATTCAATTTATACTATTCAATCGACTCGGGTGATTAGCGTAAGTGGCTAAAATACTTAACTGTAGCTAAAATTTCGTATTTTCACGCAATTTAACATTTTATTTATGACGCCGTGTCACATTCATCATATTTTTTCAATATCCTCGGGAAGCCGAGTATGACATCATAATGGATTATCTGTAATTGATTGTTAAAAAAAGGCCTCATAAATGGCACAGCCTAACCCTCTCATAGTCTTAATAATCCGGCCCTTACCATGAGTATACTGTTTAAATCAATGTCTCGTGGGGTAGGTCGTATTTACGACGTAAGATCGGATCGAGTAATTGTCTGAATTCTAACAACAATTGTAAAATTAAACATGTTCGAGATATTGGAGCTCTTCCACGTGTTTTTGTAACTGATTTCACGTATTTATATATATGATATATATATCAAATATAGCTCGGGGACATACTAACGAAGAAGCGATTCGTAATGTGCTACAAGGTTCGGGCGGCGATGAATGCTCATCGGTCAGCAGTGGCGGCGCGTCAATAGGGCCAACCGGGGCAATGCCCCGGTTGTTTTTTCGGTATAATAAAAAATATTCGAAAAATACCTCAATATCGGTTGCACAGACTGTCTACACTAGCCATATTCTCCCGACATGGTTCATTTTTCGATCGCAAAGCCTTCGCCGAACGTCGACGGGGCGACGCCGATTTTGCCCCGGTTTCTCATTGTATATCGTATTCTCTCTTTTATCTTCCACTCGCCGCGTTTGTTTTCTGTTTCTTTTACTAAATCATCGGGGCTAGCCCCGAAATTATGACGACACAATGCCGACGTTTCTTACAACAACGTGTTGACACATTCACGCATTCCTTCTCGTTCGTTGGTTGCTTGAAGAGTTGATAGTTTCCTCGCCTTCGTTTTTGTCGCTTGTTTCGCTATTTGAATCAGTTAGAGACCTTTAGTCCATTTGCTTTCGATTTTCCACATTCCTTTTGAGCTCCTCACTTCTTTCCGGCTTCGCATTTCTTAGCCTTAGACCTCATAATGAATAAGGTTGATGCACTACTTCGCACTCCGTTTTCGCAGCTGCCGCTGGAACAAAGATTAGAGGTACGACGTCTTGGGCCTTATCAACCAAAAAATTGTTCACTGGAACAATCCCATGACGGAGGAAAGCGTCGGCGTACATTCTGCGCAGAAACTTGGTATAAAAAACACGAATGGTTGTGTTACAGCGAGGACAAAAATGCACTTTTTTGTTTTTATTGCCTACTTTTTGCTACCGCCCGTGACTCACGTTGGTGTAAATTTGGTTTTAGAGATCTTAAACATCTTTCCGAGCGTGCCAGGGATCATCAATCTTCTATGGAGCATCTGCACAATGCAGTAAAATACCGAACATTCGGAAATGTTAATATTGCAGCACAGTTGGATGAAGGACGCGCGGTTTCTATTCGTCGGCACAACCAAAACGTCGAGAAAAACCTCTATGTTCTCGGTCGATTGATAGATGTTTTGAAGTTCATTGGTTGTCACGAGCTGTCCCTCCGTGGGCACGATGAACGGGCTGGCTCTTCTAATAGAGGGGTATTTTTGGATATGGTGGAATACACCGCATCCCTAGATACAGTATTGAGAGATCATCTTGATGCCGCAACTGTTTCGAAAGGGACATCTAAGGATATCCAAAATGATTTGCTCGACTCAATG